TAAACGATAAATCCTATAGATAGATTTTCGGTAAAATATTATAAATAAGTGTAAAATTATGTTAGGTAGCCGAAAACTTGTTTGGTATAAGAATATATAAAATACAATGCATCAAATTTATAGATCTTAACTTGATACAAGCTTAAAAACATTGCCTAGTTACTCAATTTGTTATCAACAAGGTGGATGCATAGTTATCAGGTGAAATACCCATACGAATTAGGGTCTTAAATATATTTTGTTTTATCAAATCGTTGTTGTGTATATAAATAGACATCTATGCCTATTCAATGCTTCAGTAATGGGGCGTGAGCAACCGAGTATCAATGAGGAATATGTGAGATATGCCAAAAATGGCTGCTTTAAAGCTGAGGCACAGCTTGCCCCTTAAAGACACGGCCTGGTCGTACAGTCACCAAACGATGCTGGATCATTTGGCAGTGCAGCAACAAATCAATGCAAATTTCATCTTACACGCGATTACCAACTATAAGAAATCACCGCTCGAGCGCAATACTCTGGACTTTATTGACAAAAAGTGGCTGGCATTGAGGGGGCTGTGGCGCGAGTTCCGGTGGCGAGACGGGCACAGACGACGTGACTACATGAGTGCCAACTGCAATGGGCATATCCACAAACAGCACGAATACTTTCAGCAGGAGCTGTACGCGCTCATTCATGAGAAATATATGGCGGTTCGCAGACGCTTGAGTCGCGACAAAAGAAATCTGCTCAAGTGCGCAGCTTCCCAGCCAGCTGGGCAGCATGTTTACCAATCAGGCCAAACAGCAGCGGATGTGGCGAAACAACACAGAGCGAACAGCAAGAGAAAACTGCATAGAGATACGACTAATAGATACCCCTTGCTTTGCTGTGCGGTAGCTGATTTTACAATTATGCAAATATAGTAGAAATGATCTGATTGAATATTATATGGAATTAGAAATCGATAAAAACCCATAAAAATCTCCTAATTGGTTCTCTGCGTATTATTTACAATCGGTCACTGTTTTATCGTTTACAAATATGATGCATCTGCTGCTATTGTATAGCTATATTTGTTATATATGTACATAAGATCTATTGCTATAAAATTTATGTCAATCTATATTTACAATATTATTGACATAAACATTAGTGATTTTCGATATTACTCTTTATATGGATAACATACCTTTATTTATTTATTTATTTTTTTTTTTTTATTTATTTGCTTTATTTATTTATTGTATTTTATTTTTTTTTATATTTTAGAGGTAATTTAAAGTTAATAAAGTTACTTACCCTAGCCATAGACTTAATAACACATTTTCAAACTTACTTTGATCAAAGTAAGTTTTTCACTATTCTCGTTACCCATTTATAAAAAATAAATATAAAAATATTTATGATGTAGTTTTACATATTTTAATTGAAGTCATATAAATTATATCCTATAAAACATTTACTTCGCATAAGTTATTTCTGTCAACTCTATCAAACTTATATAAATATATATTCCCTATTTTTAATAAGAAACTCTTATCTAGTACAACACTTTACAGGGTATCACACGTATGAAATACTTGCAGCTCTTTAAATATACATGCCTGATATCCACTTGCATATCCATTTCCCAGATACTCAATCGTGTTTAAATATATATTAAGCGGCTTTGGCAACAGCTAAAGTATATATTTCATAGAATTATCGAATATTTAAGAATTGTTTAATACACTTATCGCTTTTCAATCAATCATTCAGACTATTGTGTCATTTGATTGATGGCCATGCCATTTGGCATTTGTGTTTAAAGTAAAATTGACTTTTCATATTCGTATATCGTTGGACGGTCTATATGTGCTTATATGTACTTAACCATTGACAGTGTGTGTTTGTGTGTTTGTATGTACTTAACTATTGGCTGTATGTGCGTGGGTATTGGGTGTATTTGTGCAAAACCAACACCCACGACAAACGGCAGAGACCTTGGCCAGAGGTCTTCACTTGCAATCCAAGTATTGACATCTTAGACGCAGCAATTCGAATTGTCATTTGGCACTTGAGTAAGGCAAAAAGTGGGTCATCAAGACAGAAAAGAGAGCTTGGTATCTAATATTTATTCTATTAATTTGATCACCTTTTAGCTTTAAACAAAACGAACCTAGAATCAGATTGCGAAAGCTAAGTAAAAGCTTGAAAAACAAACAAATTTTTCATTATAATTTATTTGAATATTTTTTTTTATTTTTTATTTCAAGACATATATTTTATAAACATTTATTTAATACATTTTTAAATAGAATTGTTTTTTTTTTCTTTTGATTTGAGTTGAATTTTAAATTAAATTTACCTTTTTTAACTCTTTTTGAAGCAGTAATAAAAAATTCATCATACACATAATAAATACAATTTAATATTTTTAATTAAAAATCTACAAACAATATATTAAAATTAATCGGATTTAAAGATAAGATTTATACTCTTTGCAGTTATAATAAATAAAAAATAAAAAATTAGTGTAAAGTGCATTGAGAAGAGTTTGCCAAGCGCTCTATCTGGACCACAAAATTTATTTTTTCAACATTCATAACACATCACATCCTAATAAATCAAACCTGGTTGATCCTAATAATGCTGTGAACGATTAGAAATACTTTGCAGCAAATATACATTTGAAAAGCGTAATAGGAGAATACCCGCACTCATATCAGATTTAGTTGCTTACGTTAAGATAAGATAAAACTCGCGCCAACTTGAGTAAATTCCCATGATTTTAGTAAATTCCCAGCGTGCGTTATTTTGGGAAAAGCCCCCCAATCGCTATCGCTAATCGTGCCTAATCAGAGTACGTAAAATTATAATTTATGTGTTTATTAACTCACCAACAAGACAATTAACTAAATATGCCGTTGCCCAATCAATTAGTTTTAATTGCCAAAAAAAAAAAAAAAAAAAGAACAAAAATTGTCTTGGCCAAATAATGTGCGAAACAGCTTATTAAATTGGCCACAAAAACAAACTAATTCGATAATTTGTTTTTCGGTTGCTCATGTTTGCGCTTCTCACTTCTCGCTGCTGTTGGACATTGGACATTGGATATTGACCACACTTTAGCCTGTTCACTGAGCCCCGCAACCTGGCTGGGCCAATAACGACGGCCGAAACTGTTTTGCGGGCCGGGGCATTAAAACGGATGGGGACCACAAATTTATGTGGCTTCTGAGCGCTTTCACTCGCAACTGCTGAGGGTCCATTTGGCAGGCCGAGCAAACAAAATGTTGCCAAAGATAAATGTCTTTATTTGTTCGGCCTGTGGCGGGGTAGCCAGGTAGATGGCGATTAATATTCTTGTTAGGGCGAAAAATTATTATTATTATTTTGCGAATTTCTCAGTGCTCTGTGTATTCAATTTAGACTTGAAAAGTTAAATTATGACTTATATCGATAACAAGAAGTGAGATGAGGAAAACCTTATACTGCTCCAGTATATATGTATGTATACTAGATTTACTCAGCTCAAGAATTCTGCCACGCCTCCTTCTGCCGGTTTTCTGCATTTTCACAAAAGCATTATGCACTAATTTTCCATTTTCAATGTAAGCAGGGAATACAAAAAATACTTTAAGCCCAAAATAAAGAAAAGGAAAAGTGAGAATAAAAAAGCGCGATGTAAAATGAAGAGAAACATATTTTAGAGTTGCGCGTCTCGCACTTTAATAAGATTTATTAAGTCATCGTCGCGACGCTGCGTTATCCAGGCATACCAAGAGGGCATATAACAGTGGCCTAGATGTGCGAGGTGCCATGGGGGGAATGGTAGCGGGAGTGGATTTCCCTTTTTGGCGGCTCTTGGGCTGTAAATATTTGTAACTTAACTCTTGCCGACTTTGTTTGCTTTTTGCGTTGTGCTGCCCTATGTTTATTTTCATGTTTTTTGCCTCACTTTTGCCCCCTCTCTCTCTCTCTCTCTTTCTTTCTCTTGTTTATTTTTTCTTGTTTATTTCTGCTGCTAATAAAAATTTGATGTGCTGCTCGTTCTTGGATTTTTTGTTCCCTCTGTTACTTTTGCTTATGAGCATTTGCACTATGTCTCGGAATCAAATACAGCTGCCAAATGGCAAATACCAAGTATAATTTGCAAAGAAAGCACACAGATATGACAGCAAATAAATCTCCAGTTTTCATTTGTGCAAGTTTTCTTTTTTTGTTCGTTTTACATGTGACTAGGGGAAGACTTTAGAGGAATAATTGTCAAAGTATTTGAAGTAATGTTAGTGCTTTGGCTTAAGTTGGCTTTTCGTAAATCGGAATGGGCTAAATTTTATTTATTAATAATATTATTTCCCCTTTTGACTATGTAAAAATATATATATTTTAAATATTATTTTGAATAACATTGCTAAAAAAAATCAATGTCATCATAAATATAAAAGGATATTTGTTTATTAAAGTTAAGAAGAGATTATATATATTTTGATATGGCTGCTGGGGAAGGCTGATTAAATTCAATGCTTACATTATGTCCGCTTTCTTTCAAAAATTCAACCTAATAATTTAATTTTACTTTTACTTTACTCACTTTACTTTACTTTACTTTTACTTATATGTCAAAAGACCTTGTATAAGCTTACTCCAGCGTGGAGCATTAATTCACTTTGGAAATGTTATATATTCCATTGCTGAAACACTTTTTATGCGCGAAGCCTGGAACCTTGATGTAAAATAAAGGTTTTTACTGTATCTATTTCAATATTTAGTTTTATTTTCATAATGGTTTCGAAGCGAAAACTCTGCAAGTTCAGATTGATTTTACGTTATTTTTAGTAAAGTAAAATAAAAGAAAGTCTAAATCTAATCGAATTTTTTGGCCAAAAAAATATGTGAATACAAATAAAAAATCGAATTTGGCAACACTTTGGCAACATTTTTTGTTGAAAAAAAAAAACCAAAAAAAATATTACATAAAAATAAATTTCAAATATAGTTTTTTGCCTTTGCTTCTCTTGCAACTCTTTTGAGCTGCGGCTGTTCAGGTTGCACAGTGAAATTCATTGAATCGACCCGAGCGAACATCATATAAAATTGATGCCCTGCTGTCTACCCGACAACAACAACAACAAACTGAAGCAGACCCCGCCCGTACTTCGTGAGCTCCTGGTGACTGTCGGCTGGACTGTGCCGCCTGTACAGTAAATAATGTAATAATCTGCCTGGGTCGTGGTCTCACTGCGTCCCATAAACCGAAATTTATGCACAAAATTCAATTATGCTTAAAATGTGGTTAATAGGCCCAACTGGCGGCTGTGTCGGCCTGGCAACAATGGCCACACCCCCAGGGGAAAGGATCTGCTTCCTATTCCCATACATACACACACACACACAGACGCACACACTGACAGGGCTATTGCCCCCGCTTTGAAATTAGATATTGTTATGTTGTAATTTAATAACAAATTAATCTGCTGTTGCTGTTGCTCTTGTTATTTTTACGGTTCTGTTTTTTTATGCCTTATATGAGAGACAAACAAAAACAAACATGAAAACGACAAAAAAAAAAATAGAACATGAGATTATTCCTATTATAAGTTAATTTTTTGTTTTTGTTATGCAGTGTAACACTCGGCTCATGTGATATGATCTACGCCCAGCTGGTTTATAAACTGTGAAAGGGTCGTCGTTTTTTATGGCTTTTGAAGAGTTTTCAGTTAGTTAAGCGCTAACTCTTTTTTATGGTTTAGTTACAAATAAAAAATGAAAAATATGAAAAAGTGTGGGAAGAATTAAAGTGAGTTAAAGTAGATTGAATAGCATAACAAAGTTGTGAATTAATGGGGAGCTACAGAATATATGTACATATCATTATAAATATATTTGTATACATATATATATATATAGAGCATAGTTGTTTTTTTTATTGAACTAACTGTACGTATATTTTATAAATATATATATTTTTTAATTAAATTTATTTATTATTAAAAATGTAACTTAAGAAGAAATCATTAATTATAATACATTATTAATTAATAATAATTTGTAATAATTTTTAATATTATTTTTAATATTCTTACAAATTAAAAAAATGTTAACTATTAATAATTTTTACTGAAAAATTAAATGGGCTTTGTCTTGATGCTTTTTAGAATGTATGAAAATATTTCAGCTATATAATATAATATATAAGAGTATATATTAGCTAAGGTATATAATTTTAATCAAAATAAATTAATATATATATGCACATATATTTATATAATATACAATACTCACAATTTCATTCAGAGAAATCAAATACATTGTTTATGCAATTCTTTTAAGATAACTTGAATTGTCCATGTATAACTATATCCATATCAATATATCCATATCAATATTCCCATATATTCTATTGCGTTAAAACAACTGGAATAAATTCTTCTTCTTCTTCATACGCTACTGGGGAAGGGGAAAAATAAGAGATCCAAAAAAAAAAAAAAAGAAACAATAAGCCAATAAAATGCAAACATTTTCATACTTATTTACAGCTCATGGACTTATCGCTAAATTAATCCCAGATTTCTGCCAAGGCTTTTTCCGCTTAACCACTTGACATTGCGCTCCCTCCTTCGCTCTCTGTGTCCCTCTCGCTCTCGCATGCGCTGTGCCTGTGTCTCCCTGGAGGTGCTTTGGCGCGTGCAACTGAGGCCAAAGGAAACTGATAAGCAAGCAACAAATCCCCACACATGAGACTGGATAAGGGAGCAAGTAAAATGTAAAAACAACAAAAAAACAGAGGCAAGCCGTCCTTGAAGGGATGCGAAAAACAGCTCAAAACTTGCAAAATGATTTTAAATGATATAGGAAATGGCAAACGGAATAGCACACAGACAGACGGACAGACATAAAAAACAACTCAAATGGACTTGGGCACTGGCGCTGATCTTGTTAAGATAAAATCCTTTGGCAAATATTAACAAACAGGATATAAGAACAGAGAAATATGCTTTATGTATATGTATATGTAAAAAATATATATATGTATGTCTAAGAAATTTGAAACTTGAAGTCCCCTGCGAATGGTAAGTCATTTAATGCATATTTCACATTGAATATTAAAATAGTATCTCTCTGTCTGATTCTCTCTCTCTCACTCTCACTCAAATATATATAAGGATTATATTTTTTATATAAAGGTTTTATTCATCAATTTAATTATTTATTTTAGACTTTAATCATATTATTTAATATACACTGAGTGTTATCAGAAAACGTTTGCTCCTCCTTCATGGTCAAGTAAATAATTAAATATTTTCCATTTCATTGGGTCAATAGACCTAGCACAATTTATATTTCTGACTATTTTATTCCCATTTGGTTAATAAATTTACTAAATAATTTTACGCAAATTTTTGTTATTTATATTTTTTTTTATGTAAATATATTTTTTCTTATGCTAACACTTTTTTTTTTATATTCTCATATTCATATTTTAAGAGTATTTCCATAAGTCACATTACTTCTTACTACTAAAGCGGAAAGTATATGGAAATATAGAATTGAAAAAAAAGTACAAGAATAATATTAGATGTTAGACACAGGTTCCGTTACTTGTTCGCCTCCACACACCCATCCATGCGCAGAGCTTTACATATGTGTATGTATGCTTGGACAGGCACCTGTTCCCTATGAACAACTAGGACACAGACAGGCACCCACACACACACACACACACACACTCACACTCACTCAACCATACAAACATGCTGTTTGCCATTTTTATTATGAGCACAACGTGCGTCATTTTCTTTGCGCTGGCTTTCCTTTTTTTTTTTCATGTATAGAGCTCGCTTTCTTCCACAGCTTTTCCAGCGTCTTTAGCTGTTTTTCCGTTTCCTCATGTTTTTGTTTAGTTTTTGCTTGCTTTTAGTTTTTCTTTTTCTTATTTTTTTTTTAATCTACTCGAAGATATTATGCTTGGCATGCTGGCTGGCTGCGGCGCGCCCGCTTTTCTATTTGTCACCCAGATAAGTGTTTTGTAGTTTTTTGCCTTTGATATGCTCAGAGCCAGCGAGCTGGCAAAACCAAAGCCAAAACCAAATCCAAATCTTAACTGCAATGCGTTACGTGCCTCGCAGCACAGCCAAACCAGACCAACTGTCATGTTACACATCTGTGTGTGTGTGAGCTTGTTGTGTGGACTCCTCACCCTTCTGGCTGTTAAGGCTGCCTTGCACAGCTTGAAGTCAGTTCCATTCAACTGGCAACTGTCTTTAAGTCCTTCACTCCCGCAAGACCTTGCCTTCCCCTCCCCCTCACCCACTCTCCTTTTTTTCCCCACTCGACATGTGAGCTAAGTGAGTTGAGATGCCGGCGAACAACTTCAAATCTGCAGTAATAGATATCAACAACTTTCAGTGCACCAGAACTGAAGGACTCGAACTCTTGTCTGCTGCGGGTTTATAGATTGTTACGTTTGTCCGCTTCTTCTATATGTTTTCCGCTTCTACTTCTTCTGCTCCTGCTTGTTGCTTTCTTTTCTTTTTTTTTTTCTTCGTTAAATTAAAAATGAACTTTGGCAGCTGAAATTCATGGTCATGTTCATGTTCATTTCTTGCCACAATTCTTTGCCTGGGGTCAGCTCAACTGGTCGACATTTATCTTCGGGTAACTCCAACGCTACCGCTGTCTCCAGCTCTGGCTTTGTTAGCCACTTGATAAGATAAAGCGCTCTGTATTTTACTCAACGCTCTGATTGCGCATTTGTCCCTCAGAGATTTTCATCGACAATGCGGCTAGACAGTAAATTATATATATTTTATTAATTTATTATATTTTTATTATTTTATATATTATTCTGTATATAGAAATATATACAGAAATAAATAATTATTTATAACTTTTCAAAATGAACACGATTCCCTTGTTATATTTTTATTATAAAGGTTTCCTATAAGTTTTAGGTAAAAGGGGAAATTTCTGTTTGTTTTTTATTTTATTTTATTTATTTATTTATTTTTTTTTTTTTTTTTTTTTTTTTTTTTTTTTTTTTTTTTTTTTTTTTTTTTTT